AGAAAACCCTTGTACAAAGCAGAGCTCCCAGGAGAAACACCCACAGAACATGACCCTGAGCTGGATCTGGAAGGACAGAGGAAGCTGTCAAAGGCCAGGGGAGTTACAGAGTGGGGAAGAACACCACAGCCCAAACCCTGTAAGGACAGTGATCTGGCCGATAATGGACGGGGCGGTGGGAGATGAGACAGGAGGCAGGCAAGGACCAATTTAAAGGAGGGTGGGTAGCCAAGCTGAGGAAGTTTGGTATTTTATCTATTAGACAACATAATGGGGTCGAAGGATTTTAAGTCAAGTGGTGACAGAATCTGGTTTATGCTTTGGAAAGGTCCATTCAGCTTCAATGTTGAATCTGCACTGGAGCAGGGAAGCTGCTAGAGAGGGGGACATAGATGGGGCGATTTCAGTAATCCAGGGAGAGCCAAGGCAACAGCCCTCTCTCTCTCACACACACGCACACATGCACGCCCCCCCCCCACAGCACAGTAAGAAGGCTAAAAGAACTCTTCTTGGAACTGCTCAGCCCAGCCACTCGCACGCACTCTTTCCCAGGACCTCGGGTGGGGGAGGCAGCAGGGCCAGGTCACCACCTACCTGCCACCCTCCCCTAACTCGTTAGCACAACTCTCTGCATTCTAAGTTACTGCAAAAATTAACCTAACTTCAGGGACAGAGTAAGGAGGCAAACCAGATTTGAAATGGAAAACGGAACACTGCCCACACACTGTGCCAACGGTGGGCTTTCCCAATCACGGCAGGGACCCAGAGCTGGGGGCGAGGGAGGAACAGAGGAGGGGCCGAGACTCCAGTCTGACCCCTCTCCCTGGTGGGGAGTAAGGGACAAAAGGAGACTTCCCCCCTCATCCTCATGCCCTCCATCCTGGGCACGACAACAAGTGTTCCCTACTCCTTCCCCACCTCCTCTACACCCACCACCACCATCAACGTGGAAACCGCACGGCCTGCAATATATAGGTACACTTCCAAAACCACACCGGCTCAGAGCGCTCAACAATGGGGTGGCTAAGTGGGGTCCTGATGATGGAACCCCAGCACCTAGCTCTTGTGCTGGCGTCTATCTACTCCATCTATTCCAACAGGTGGGACGGGGGCGAAGGGTTGAAAGGAGCAACCGAGGCAAGTCTCAGCAGTGGGTGTCATTACTAGTTTACAGTGAATGATCCTCTCCCTCCCACCCTCCCCACAAGTTGTAAGAGGCAGTTTTTTAGGTATGTCCCAGGTGTTAGGCAAGTCTCTTTAGAACCAAGCCTACTCATCCCATTACTTCTTCTTTTTTTTAAGATTTTATTTATTTGAGAGAGAGTGAAAGAGCATGATGGGGCAGAGGGAGAGGAAGACGCAGGCTCCCCGATGAGCAGGGAGCCTGACACAGGGCTGGATCCCAGGACCCTGGGATCATGGCCTGAGCCAAAGGCAGATGCTAACCGACTGAGCCACCCAGGCGCTCCCTACTCATCCTACTTCTGATGGCAGGAGAGAAATGTCATGAGGCTAGCTTGTGTGGGGGTGTTTGACCCATCCCGAGGCTCAGACAAATGCATCCCAATTTCATAATCACACTCCGTTGGCATCATTCCTTTTATAGGATTCAGAATGTCAAGAGTTAGAAAGGTGTCATATGCCCAACATTTTGGGAACTCAAGATCGTTACACAAAGGACTTGAAGTGTTAAAACTGGCATCTGTTTCTTCCCGACTGATTTTAAGTTCTCTAATAACCTAGCAGGTGTCAAAATAATTTTAAAAGATAATCCACATTTCCTGAAGTACTTATGTGTGCCAAGCAGAGCCCTGAGTACTTCACATGCGCCATCACAATCGTCAAAACAGCCTTACCTGGTAGGTTCTGTTATGCCCACATTACAGATGAGGAAACCGACACTCAGAATATTGCTCACGGACATACAGCTAATAAGGGGCAGATCCAAGACTCAAATCCATGTGTGTCCACCCTCAGAGCCAGCTCACTTACAAACGGCCACCCGATCCACCCAGGAAGCAGTGCTCTGACCTTTGGTGAGTAATACTTTGCTGCAGCCGGCCCCAGCAGCAGATCTCAGAATCGTCCCCAGGTTCCCGGGGTCACGGAGATTGTCACAAATCAACAATAAGGGCAGCAAATGGCTAAGTTGAGTCTCTGGGTATGTCATCTTAACGTGGTCAGGTTTGGCAAAAATCCCTGAGGAAACAAAACAGGCGGTTCACTTGTCTGATGTAACCACAGGGAATAATTTGGCTTTTCATTTATTTACCCATCTTTCTATATTCTTAGTTACATAAGTAATAGAGGAATGCATTCTGATTGAAAAAATTCATACATAAAGTTCTACCAGTGATACCCAGCCCCCATAACTGATTTCGATCTGAGGGTGTATCCCCTCAGAACCTGTTCCATCCGTCCGCCTACGTATATATACATCTACCCATATAGAGGTACTATCTTCTTTTCCATAAAAGAGTCACACCCTTATGTGTTATTCTGTAACCTTATTCAATTCTCTAACACGAGATGTCTAGAGAACTTCCCACGTTAATCCATTCGGAGCTACCTTATTTTAACTGCTTCACGTTATTTTGTAACATGAACATACCAGGTTTATTTAGCTCTTCCCCAACTGACTGACGTTTAGCTTATTTTCCATTTTTCCCTATTATAAACCCTGCAATGAACATCCCCGTATCTCTATGCACATGTCCAAACATTCCCTGTGAAAAACACCAGCAAGTGAAATCGATATATGCTGTGCGTGCACCCCTAATGTTAATAGGTACTTCTAAACTGCCCTCGCCACAGGCTAGGCCAATTTATTCACACCAAGAACACATAAATACCTATACCTAATCCATCAATGAAGGCACTAGAATGGTATTAGGCATCTGCGTGCTGTAAAAAGGTCCTGCACTGAGGGGCCACAGATAGCTGTAAGACCATTCAGCGGGGCAGGGGCCTTTCCTTTAACTTCTACCCGATCAGCTGTAGTGATGAAAGCTCTCTACTACAGGCCCTACTTACATTACTGGATTTTAAAGATATGCCGCAAGTCTGACAGGAGGCCTTACCTCTTTCTCCCTTTACCCCACCCCTCCAATATTGAATAAAACATAAAGATAAGCTAAATAATATGTATTTTTCAGAGGCATGAAATGATGAAAGCAGTCACAACAACGAGGAGGGCTACAGAAGTCCTGGGTGGGCTGGCTATTGTTAGCACACATGCCCAAAGTGGTGAAAATGAGTGATACTTGCACTGTAGCATGAAGTAGGGAATTAAGAGGTGTAGCTAACGAGAGCACAAATACTTAAGAGTAAGGGAAGGACTCTAGCAGTCCCAAATCCCCACCCTAGGGGAAGAGTTCTAAGCACAGGGTCACAGATCCCTGACTTGCTAGGTTACAGAACAAGAGATGGTCCCCAGAATATCCTCTCCCAACTAATCACTGAACTTTACCACAAGGAAACACATGCACAACTGGTATGAGAGATCCTGGCTCAAACATTTGAATCTTGAAGATAACTCCCCCTGCCCTAACTGTCCCTTACTACCCAAGAGAAACTTCTACACTTACTGCCATTCAATTCTCAGATCTAAGATCTAATTCCAGTGTCAAAAAGGTATAAAGAATTTAGTCTTTCCGTATTTCGAAAAGAATACCTAAGTGCTAACAGACATCACAGTCTATTAGAATCTTGTTAGATTCAACCAAATAAAGACACGGTTTCCTGTTCAATGGGCAACTTACTGCTCAGACATGCTTCTAGAATAAGGGGGTCGACGCCAGAGGGGTATCACCACACTGGCAGAAGTCTTGTGCAAATGGAGGGCTAAATATTTTAGTAAACATTTTCTTAAACTTTAGTTGGACATTAAGGGTTGAAGAAGTGACCTAAAAAATATAATGTTCAAAGAACAGTGGTTATTCCTAGAGACTATGAAGAGCCATAATACAATTTCCACTGAAAATACTGTAAGATGCACAGACTTGAGAACTGTATTTTTCTGGGTGTCTTAAGAAAACATTTTGAATTTGGTTCAAATAAAATTCGTTGCCCTAAGACAATCATGAATAAGTAATCCTAGATCTCTACTTCTAGTGACACATAGTATAGCCACTGACCCATTATTCCTTGTGGTGTTACTAGGTCGGACCAATCCTTGATATCCTCAAATTTCACCTTAATGAGGCTGACACCTTTCAGCTTATCAATGGGTAGCTCCTTTATGTATTCCAGACGGCTAAAGAAGAAAACTTTGGGCACAGCACCAGCCTTGAGAGCATCTGCAATCAGCCTGCGACCTTCCAGCAGGATCTTTCCTTGCTTTTCCCGAAATGGCCTGGACTTAACTATTGTCATTACACTGCTGTGGGTGGAAACAAAAAGACGGGTAATTATTAACATCCTTGTTACGGAGACACACCTAGTTCTAACAGATATAAAGAGCTTCACAGACATAAACTAATTCCAAAGAAAACATTTATTCTGCCCTCCATGCATAATAAAAACCAGAGGGTTGTACCGGGAGAAGTCCTCCAACAGGAGGAAAGAGGTTAAGCTCCCGCTGACAGGTGGGAAGAGAAACAGGAATACAAGACAAGTCTCAGGAACACATCACCTCAGCCTTCTGTCCCCGGGGAAAGCCTTATCATAGCGAAGCCCCGACTCTTCCCAGGTGCAGGGCGTCTGGGATGGTGACACCTGAAGCGGCTGCTTTGGTCGCGGCTCGTAGGGACTGGCCTCAGCCGCAGCCCTCTGGGGCTGCTTTCCAGGACCGGGCTTCCGTTCCACCACCTGTCTCGATGGAAACACCACCCTCACGGGGTTCCGCCGCAGCGCCCGGACCCAGCGCCGCCCGTCGAGGTCCCAAGTTTGGACCACCCGCAGGAGCGGCCGCGTGGCCCACCCCAAGCCCTTCCCCCGCGCCGCCATCTTCCCCCGCGCCGTGGGTTGCGTCACGGGAGCGCGCCGGCGGCGACCAGTGACGTCACGACCCGTCTGCGCATCCACCCCTGACTGTGTGGAGCCGATGGCTATGGCTGCTCGTCGAGCTTTGCACTTCGTATTCAAAGTGGGAAACCGCTTCCAGACGGCGTGTTTCTTCCGCGATGTCCTGGGGATGAAGGTGCAGACGGGGCCGAGAGGGGCTGGCGTGCGAGGGTGGGTGGCCGGGGCCGCTCAGCCCCACTGGCCCAAGAAGGGGACAACTGGGTGTGTCGTGAATCTCCGCCCGTGCCCCGGTGTCCGACCTTAGCCCTGCACTCCCCGTTAGCCCTGTCGGGTTTTCAGCTTCAGGAAGCGTTGCATGTTGCTGGTTGGGTTGGTGACCTTTGAAAGGGGCCTTTATTAGTCGTCGACTGTGTGCCCACACACGTTTCTTTCGCTTAAGTTCATTCACAGATACTGAGCCTGAGCCCTTGTGGAGCTTCCAGTCTAGTGGTAAAGACCGTAAACAAAAAGTAATATAATACTCTCCCAATGAACAATAACCCAGTCTCTTCCGGTTTGGAGCCTTTCGGTTTAGATAATCAGCCTATGTAGACCTCTGCTTCACTCAGGCCTGCTTTCAATGGTCCCTTATGTATATTCAACCTCCGGGTGAATGCTCCGGCCCTCCTCTCAACAGTCCAGATCTAAGTGTGAAGTCAGAACCCATTGTCTCCAACACCCGGCAGCGGCCTCTCCAGCCCTGAGCAGTTGCGATTCTGCAGGGATCACCTGGGTGGCAAATGCAGGTGGAAGCTGTTGGGGAGCTCCCGATAAGCAAGGGCTTTAGAGGTGCAAGAGTGCAATTTAATGTAGAGGGCAGAAGATGTGGCGTGCAAGGGAGTTACCTGAATTCATCAGTCATTTAAAATATATCGTTTGTGCTTCACGGTCCTGTGTTGGTGACAGCTTTGGTGACAAAGATGAAAATGACCTTGGTGTCTGTCCTCAACTAAAGCTTCCGGCCGGCCTAGGATGTGGGTGGAGATGAGAATTTGATTTGTACATAGCTAACGGTAATGGAAGTCAAAACTTGATAAGTGATGAAAACCCACAAAACTCTCCCTTACTGTGTTTCGTCGATGACTGAAGCTTTGTTTTGAAGATTAAACTGTTATGTGTGTAGTATTTGATACATCATATGTATTATGTAAGTGGTAGCTACTACTATTATTAAAAAATACTATAGGAAAGATTTAACTTCAGCCTGGATCATCAGGACATAATTCATGGAGATCTTGCATTTGAGTTGATCTATAAAGACAGGCAGGATTTCCACAACAAAGATTAGAGGGAGGAGTATACTGGAAAAACTGAAAGAGCCAATGCAAAGATAAGGTATGTTTGGGAAACACCACTAGTTTTCTGTGTCTTTAGCTTAGATGACTTAGTTGAAGTTGAGATGGGGTATCAGGACAAATAGGCTGGGACTACTTCTGATAGTATCTTGAATACTGAGGAATTTGGATGTTAAGGCTCAGTAAGTAGGGAGCTCTCTGACATTTTAGAACAGGGTAATGATGTGATCAGAGCTGTGCATGAGGGACATAATTTTATGGTGGGTATTAAGGAAAGAGATCAATAAGGATGATTTTTAATAGTATGGGAGAGAACTGATGGGAACTTGAGCTGGAGCAGTAGCAGTGGGAATCAAAAAGGAGAATAGAAACTTGAGACATTGAGAGGCTACTGTGTGTGGGGTTCTTTGTCAAATAGTTTAATAAATCATCTATTTTCACAACACATTGGGAGACTCAGGCCCTCAGCAACATTCTCAGACAACGTTCTCGATCTCAGACAGCTATTGAGTGACAGCCAGGATTCCAAATCGGAATTCTCTAATGCTGAAGGCCATACTTTGGTTTTCTGGGTGGTGGGGGTGATTTTAACTCCACAGCGCTGCTTCCCAATCCAAGTAGATTTCACAGCCTTGGTTGCCTGACCCTTGGTGTCAAACTGTTCTTCCTCACTTCTACTACTTCCAGTCTGGGAAAGAGACAAAGCTCATTGTCTTTTGTTTTAGAAGTAAAGCTTACAAATTATAAATGTCTGTGTTTTAACATTTTAGCTTGTGCTAAATATGCTGTGTACAGTACTGGTAACACTTTACAGCGTATTGTAATTCCCTTACCAGATTCTGCGGCATGAGGAATTTGAAGAAGGCTGCAAAGCTGCCTGTAATGGGTATGACACCTTGTTTTTTATTTTATTTTTTATTTTATTTTTTTTTAAAGATTTTATTTATTTATTTGAGAGAGAGAGAATGAGACAGAGAGCACATGAGAGGGGGGAGGGTCAGAGGGAGAAGCAGACTCCCTGCCGAGCAGGGAGCCCGATGCGGGACTCGATCCCGGGACTCCGGGATCATGACCTGAGCCGAAGGCAGTCACTTAACCAACTGAGCCACCCAGGCGCCCAAACAGTGGTTTTTGTTTTTGTTTTTTTTTTTTAAAGATTTTATTTATTCATTTGAGAGAGAGAATGGGAGAGAGAGCACAAGAGGGGGGAGGGTCTGAGGGAGAAGGAGACTCCCCGCCGAGCAGGGAGCCCGACGTGGGACTCGATCCCGGGACTCCAGGATCATGACCTGAGCCGAAGGCAGTCGCTTAACCAACTGAGCCACCCAGGCGCCCGACACCTTGTTTTTTAAAATCTCCTTTAGGCTTTGAATACCCCTGGAGAACAGAAGACAGTTTCTCGAAGTGAGTATAAGGCAGTGCAATAAATTCAGGAATCAATAAATTAGGGTGGCAGCTTCAAAAACACAAGTAAGTGTATACTCTAAGTGAACCAATGTCTTTTTTTTTTTTTTTTTTTTTTTTAGGATTTTATTTATTTATTTGACACAGAGAGAGAGAGTACGAGCAGGGGGAGCGGCAGGGAGAGGGAAGAGCAGGCTCCCGCTGAGCAGAGAGCCCGACTTGGGGCTCAAGCCCAGCACCCTGGAATCATGACCTGAGCCAAAGGCAGACACTTAATCGACTGAGCCACCCAGGTGGCCCTAAATGAAGCGATGTCTTATTGAGCGTCTTAGCCTAATAGCCATAGCAAGCTGGAAAATTCCAAGGCCTAAAGAGAATTGCATGCTTGGTGAGAGATGTGCAAAAAAATAAAGGCTGGAGAAGTATCTTTAGAGGAGTATGTCCCCTACTTTAAAGAAAAGGTAAACAAATCTTTCCCTCAAATAAGCGCCAGACAGGTGGTCTTTGGAGCCCCTGGTGGTGAGGCCCGCGAGCACTGTGCACCGCTGCTTTTAGCACGCGCTGAGAGGTCATCTCATCCTTACAGCTGACCCAGGGGACCAGGGGAGACTGCCCACTGTTCTGAGGAACCAAGAGTTCCTCAGGGCAGGCCTCAGGCAGATTTTGTCTGTATTCACTGGGTTCATTTACTTTCATTTTCTAGGCCTTATGATGGGAAATGGAGTAAGACGATGGTGGGATTTGGACCTGAGGATGATCATTTCGTCGCAGAACTGACTTACAATTATGGCATTGGACACTACAGGCTTGGCAATGACTTCATGGTAAATGTCATTTTGTTTGAGCAGACTTTGGCTGTGCCCTTTATCGAGGTCCCTGATACAACCTCAGGTATGATGATGGCCCAGTTGGTGGCTTGTGATGGTTTTATGTTTTCTATTAAGAAGATAATCGCTCGTGCACCTGTCTCAGAGCTGGCTTCGGGATGAATTGTGTTCTTCCAGTGTTTGGAGGTCAACCTCGAGACTTAGAGACAGCTTTGACAGAGACAAAATGACTGAACCTTGAGAGAGAGAAGGGCCAGAGTCATTGGTCTGGTCAGGCAGGTCCTGATCACCAACCAGAGAAGGATTTTCTCTCTAATGCCCTTTAGGATCAGGCTGTGCTATTATGGCCAATGCTAGTCATTGAAAAACTCGAGAAGCTTTTAAGGAGAAAGTGAAAGAAGCGTTGCATATACCGCATTCCTTCCTTCCTTCATGCAAGAGTTCAAGTCAGTGTGCATCTAATAGTTACGGTATCTGCCTCTTATTGAGCAGCCACTGTGTGCTAGATAGAATGTCACTGGGCCCAAATACACAGCAAGACAGCAGTAACTAGTTTTCTCTCGGGATCTACTGAGCAGATCTACCTCGTGCTAGATGTTATTTTGGTCATTTAATCCTGCTATTACTCTTAATGCACGTTAAAATAATAATGACATTTAAGTGGAATTTTTATAAGAATCAAATATCTATAAAAGTATTTTGTAAATGAAAAGGATGGTTCAGATTTAACGTATTAGTGTCTGTTTTTCTCTTTCTCATTCTTCATGTCTCTCACTAATTTATTCATTCATTCATTCATTCATTTATTTATTTTTATTAGAGAGGGAGAGAGAGAATCTGAAGCAGGCTCCACGTCCAGCTCAGAGCCTGATGAGGGGCTCGGTCTCACAATCATGACCTGAGCTGAAATCAAGAGTCAAATGCTTAACTGACTGAGCCACCCAGGTAGCCCTAATTTATTCATTTGACAGATATTTATTGTGACTTCCTATCTTCCATGTACGGGTTAGGTCCTGGGGATACAGTAGAGTGAAGCATGTTCCCTGGCCTAAGGAGCTTCCTGTCTGGTGGGGGAAACAAGTAAAGAGACGGAAGAATACAGTGTGATTAGTGCTAAGATTGGAATAAGAATAGGCGGATGTGGGAACACCTAGGAGGAATTCCCCGAGAGGTGAGAGTTCAGAGAAAGCCTCCCAGAAGTGACACCTGAGCCAGGTGAGTGAGGTGGAGGTGGGACGGTGAGATGAGTGTCCTCAACATGTGCACAGGCCTGGAGGTGAGAGGGAGCATGGCTGTCAGGGAGCTGGGACTGGCACAGTCTGCCTGGAGCTAAGTGTGTGAAGAGGAAGTGGGCAGAGAGGAGGCTGGAGAAATAAGCTGGGGCCACATCATACAAGGGTGTTTACACTTTATTCTAAAAACACAGTGAAGCCATTTTTAAAGTAGGGGAATAACACAATATATGTGGTATGCAAGAATCCACCTGGCTGGAGCATGGAGATTGGGTTGGAAGGAAGCAAAACTGGAAGCGAGGAAACTAGCTCAAAGGGTAGTACAGCAAGTGACTGGAAGCTCCTTAACTCATGTGGTAGGAGTGGGAGATGGAGAGAAATGGGTGGACTTGAGAGATGTTTAGGAGGTAGAGTTAATAGGATTTGGTGATTGAGTGTAAATGAAAATTTCTTTGTGTTTCTCCTTATCTTTTCCTTACTCTCCAAATTTAAATCAGGGAGAGAAAAAAGAGCAAAACCATCTTGGCACCATCAGCATTTCACCGGCTCAAGTCAGATGTTGATTGATGGTGCTGCAGGGTCAGAGGTCATGTAGGTGGAGAACCCCGGGGCTGCTCCACTGTGGGTCTTCCTGAGAGACTCTGGTAGTAAAATATCCCTAATGAAAGGAACCTTCTGGGCTCCTCAGTTCATGGAACAAAAAGAAAGACGGTTATATAGATCTCCAGTTTATATAAAGAGTTCCCATACATTAAAAAGAAGAGGATCGAGGGGCTCTTGGGTGGCCCAGTCGGTTACTGTCCAACACCTGATTTAGGCTCAGGTCGTGATCTCGGGGTCGTGAGATCGAGCCCTACATTCAGCTCCACACTCAGCTGGGAGTCTGCTTGAGATTCTCTCCCTCTCCTTCTGCCCTTCCTCCCTCTCTGTCTCTCTCTGTCTCTCTTTCTCTCTGTCTCTCTCTCAAATAATCTTAAAAAAAAAGAGGATCAACAACTTAATTTTTTTTTTTAAGGGGCAAAAACTGTGAACAGACAGTCATAGAAAATAAATCAGAAATGTCTCTCAAACATTGAAAAAGATGTTCAACTGCCAAGCTGCCATTTGTCACCTATCAGACTGACAAAAATCAAGAAGTGTCATAACACACTGTTACAAAGGGTGTTAGACAACTGCCACTCTCATACATTACTTTTATAAGAGTGTAAATTACTACAATTTCAGTTTGGCAGTATCAAAATAATGCATTTGGCCTTAGACCTTGCAGTTTCACACCTAGGAATTTAGTTTACATGTATGTTAACGAATATGTGAAAAGAACTATGTATTAAAGTATTTATTGTGGTTTTTATTCATACAACAAATATTTATTGAGTGCCTGCTATGTGGCAGGCACAGCTCCAGGAATTTTGGATAACCAGTGAACAAAATGGACAAAAATCTTTGCCTGCCGGGGGAGGGAATCAGGGCCTGACAGACAACATATAATAAATAGAATAAATAAATCATATAATATGTTGTTTTAAAGGTGATCGTTGTTATTGGAAAAGAACAGAGCAGAGGAAGGGGGATGGGGAGTATGGGAGAGATGACTGGTTTTAATTTTAAGGAGGGTGTTGAGGGTAGGTATCAGGGAGGAGGGGACAATAGTGGAAAGTCTCACAGGAGAGAAGAGAGTTAGCCATGTGGATATCGCAGGGAAGAGCAAACCAGTTAGAACAGCCTGTGCAAAAGCCCTCAGACAGCACCTGGCATTTTCCAGAAAATGCAGCCAGTCTGGCTGAAATAGATGGAACAAGGGGAAAGTGGGAGGAGATGGGGTCAGAAACGACATGGGATTAGGTTGTGTTGGGCCTTTCAGGCCATTAGAAGCCATCCCTGAGTGAAACGATGAGCTATCAAGGGTTTTAAGCAGGGGAGAAACTACATAGGGTTGCTGTCTTGAGGGTAGAATATGTTTCAGAAAAATTTACTTTGGCTACAGAGTGGGTGATGGATTGACAAGACTCAGGGAAAGAGAGGCTGTTATGATAATCCCAGTTAGAACTACAGCTCGTCTTATCAGAAGACATAGTTTACATTTTTAGGTATTTTGATTAAATTTAAGTAATACCTTGATAGTTGGTTTAAATTTTTTTATTTATTTTTAAAGATTTTATTTATTAGAAAGAGATTGAGAGAATGAGTGGGGCAGGGGCAGAGGGAGAAGCAGACTCCCTGAGGAGCAGGGAGCCTGACGTGGGACTTGATCCCAGGACCCTGAAATCATGACCTGAGCCGAAGGCAGAGGCTTAACTGACTGAGCCACCAAGAAGCCCAAGTTTTTTTGTTTAAAAAGCAAAAATAAAAATAAAACATCTTAAGTAGGTAGCTGGCAAGCCAAGGTAAGATCAAGATGTCTCTGATTAGATCTTTAAAATTAAAAGAGATTATCTTTGGTATAAAAATGATCAAACTTCTCAGGGTACCTGGGTGGCTCAGTTGGTTAAGCTTCTGCCTTCGGCTCGGGTCACAATCTCAGGGTCCTGGGATCCAGCCCCACATCCGGGCTCCCTGCTCAGCGGGGAGCCTGCTTCTCCCTCTCCCTCTGCCACTACCCCTGCTTGTGCCCGCGCTCTTGCTCACTCTCTCTCTCTGTGAAATAAATAAAATCTTTTAAAAAATAAAATGGTCAAACTTCTCTAGCCTTTGAACTTCTGTCCTATAATTCACATTTGGGATCTTTGTAGGAGAGGTATGTCCAAAACCTACTTTAAAATCACTAGAAGAGGGGCACTTGGGTGTCTCAGTCGGTTAAGCATCAGCCTTCACCTCAGGTCATGATCCTAGGGTCCTGGGATTGAGCCCCAGGTCAGGGAGCCTGCTTCTTCCTCTCCCTCTGCTGCTTCCCCTGCTTGTGCTTCCTTGCTTTCTCTCTCTCTCCCTCTGCTCGATCTCTCTCAAATAAATAAAATCTTTTAAAAAAATCACTAAAAAATTTTGAATGCCAATTAAATCTTGGGTAGCATGATGTAAAGGCAATGGGATTTTGCCTCATTATCTTGCTCTAGAAAAGATCTGTGGTTATACACTTGGTGATATTGTTGTTTGTCCTAGGGTATCACACTCGCTTCTAGCCAGGCTGTCAGCAATGCCAGGAAGCTGGAGTGGCCACTCAGTGAAGTTACAGAAGGTGTTTTTGAAACCGAGGCCCCAGGAGGATATAAGTTCTATTTGGAGAATCGCAGTCCACCTCAGTCAGGTAATTATACCGGGACTAACAAAAGCCCTCTGTCTAACAGCATCTTTGATGAAAGGAGAGAGGAACTGGATTTCTTTCTCCTGTAGAGTCTATATTGACATGATATCTTTCCCAAGCCAGTGTTTCTTATTCTTTGAGAAATCATATTTTCTTTTCTTTTCTTTTTTTTTTTTTAGAGAGAGAGAGAAACACGCAGTGAGAGGAAGGACAGAGGGAGAGAGAATCTTTTTTTTTTTTTTTTTTTTAAGATTTTATTTGTTTGTCAGAGAGAGAGAGAGCACAAGCAGGGGGAGTGGGAGAGGGAGAAGCAGGCTTCCCTTGGAGCAAGGAGCCCAATGTGGGACTCAACCCCAGGACCCTGAGGTCCTTAACCGACTGAGCCACCCAGGTTTCCCTGGACAGAGAATCTTAAGCAGGCTCCACACACATTGTGGAGCCTAATGTGAGGCTCGATCTTACAACCCTGAGATCATGACCTAAGCTGAAATAAAAAATCTGACACTTAAATGACTGAGCCACCCAGGCATCCCGAGAAATCATATTTTCATATTAGAACTGTAGTGCATAATTCTAGGGGATCTTACTGGTTCTGGTTCTATTCTGCTGGTAATATATCTATTTAGGATACTTTCAGCTATAACAGAAAACCAATCTCAAACTAGCATGAACAATAAGAAAATGTTTTAGCTCACAGAGTAGGTAGTCTATGGGTTAGTTGATTCAGCAGCTCAGCAATGGCATCAAGAATCCAGCTTTTCTCTCTGTCCCCATCCTCTTGTCCATAGGGGTCTGTTTCTAGACCAGTTCCCTTGTGGTTGTTGGGTGGCTGCCAGTAGCATTGGGGCTACCTGCTTCCACATTCTCATCTGGCAGGGGAAGAAGAGACTGACTTCTGTTGATTTTTATTAAGAGCAGAGCAAAACTCTTCTGGAAGCTTCCTGCAGACTTCCTGGTCAGACTTGATTTCACACTCCTGAATGAATCACTGCTAAGGGAAATAGGATTATCCTTAGACTAGTTGATTTTATCTCTCCAGCTGAGGTCAGTTTCACAAACTATAGTGCTGTTGCTAGGTGAGTGAGGGTGGAATAGAAGTGAGGAGCCCAACACACTGACTGCCATGCAGAAAGAGACCTTGCACGACCTGTTTCGTTTACTGCAGAAGCATCCTCATCATATGTGTAATCCCTGCATGTTGTGCTATCTGCTCTGCTGAAAGAAAAACAATAACAGAAAAAAACACTAGCGAATAGCAAAGGCCGTTCTGCCTGCCATTTCAGTCTGTGAGCACACGTCCTTAAGTGGACCTGAGATGGGAGACATGGATTCTCTTTCTTCCCCTGGTCTGCCTCAGTGCCCAAATGCCCCTTGTACTGAGTCTGATTGTGTGTATAATGCTACTTGCTTTTCATCTGGAGCTCAGCAAAGGAAAGAATGATGTGTTCCAGTGTGGGAGGTTAGACTGGTGCTGTAGGACTTACTGCCAGATGGTATTTCTGTACTTCACTGGTGACTTAAGGGATTTTTATGATTATTTTTATTGATGGGTGATTCTTGCATATAAAGCAAGAATTTAAAACTTTAAAGCTTAACTCCTGCCACTAATTCTGCTATGCATTTTTTTTTTCCTAGTTGTAATGATGTTTCAATACACAGAAAATGGAGGGGCGCCTGGGTGGCTGAATTGGTTAAGTGTCTGACTCAGTGTCAGCTCAGGTCATGATCTCAGGGTCCTGGGATTGAGCCTTACATTGGGCTCCCTGCTCAGCAGGGAGTCTGCTTGTCCCTCTGCCCCTCCTCCTGCTTGTGTAGGCTCTCTCTCTCTCTCTCTCTCGAAAATAAAATCTTTAAAAAGAGTCTCTTTTGGGGCGCCTGGGTGGCTAAGTTGTTAAGCGTCTGCCTTCGGCTCCGGTCACGATCCCAGGGCCCTGGGATCGAGCCCCGCATCGGGCTCCCTGCTTAGCGGGAGGCCGGCTTCTCCCCCTCCCACTCCCCCTGCTTGTGTTCCTTCTCTCGCTGTGTCTCTCTCTGTCAAATAAATAAAATATTTAAAAAAATAAAATAAAAATAAAAAGAGTCTCTTTTAAAAAAGATACATAAAGGGGCGCCTGGGTGGCTCAGTCATTAAGCATCTGCCTTCGGCTCAGGTCATGATCCCAGGGTCTTGGGATTGAGCCCCGCATTGGGCTCCCTGCTCAGCGGGAAGCCTGCTGATCCCTCTCCTACTCCCCCTGCTTGTGTTCCTGCTCTCACTGTGTCTATCTCTGTCAAATAAATAAAGAAAAATCTTTATTAAAAAATATATATATACATAAAAAATGGAGAGCCCTACAATCCTAAGATGTTTTTGTCCTTTGGAATGATAATACCTTTGGGGCATTAATTTCCGATTGGTAATAGAGTCAAATCTATCAGTCTAGCTGGTGTCCAGTCTTCCTTTGAATCACTGGGTCCTGGGTAGTCTCACTCATTTGTTACCATTCCTGTCCTGCATCCTTCAGGGACCCAGTTGGCTGGAATTTGTTGATGTCTCAATGAACGGGGAAAACGAACAGTCTGCCAGGCAGAGGCACCTGTGAGAAACACTGCCTTCGTCATGGTATTGCAGTTCTAGCAAATGGGGCTGAGGCTGTGAAAACCAAAGAAAAATGTACTGAACTTATCACAGTAGAGCAGCTCTTCAGAAGGTCACCTTACAGTATAAAAATTTCCAATAATGTTAAATGTTTTAGTATAATGTTTTATCCTTTTTGCAAAAAAACAGATTTTCTTTTCCTAGACAGATAAGCATAGAAGAAGAAAGAAGAAAACAGTACCCATCTAGCCAGATAATCACTGTTAACATTTTAGAGTGTATCTTTCCAATCATTTATCAAAAAAAAAAAAAAAAAAACACACAAAAAAACTATCTATATATCATATGTTCCATTGTAACAATTCCATTGTATTACATGGTGGGAAGATTAAACAGTTGTCTGTTGTTGGATATTTATGTTGTCCCTAGTGTTTCATTGTTATGAGCAACACTGTTCCTCTATGAAAGCCCTTCATACATCTACAGTTACTTCTTTAGTTGGTGATAATAGGATTGCTCTTTGAAAAGCAGTTTACATTTTTTTAGGCTTTGGGTACATCTGTCAGATTGTTGCCCAGAAATATACTAATTTGCACTCTGTTAGTATTATATGATCGTGATTTTTTTTCCCCTGCCCTATCAACAGTTAACACAGTGACTTTTAAAATTATTTGCCAATGAAATAACAAAATGTTTTGTTTTAATTCTAATTTCTTTGATTATTTGTGAGGTTGAATGTGTTTTTTGTTGAATGTTCGTTGACCATTCCAGTTCATTCTTTGTGGAATACCACTTTGTGCTTTTTACCTAATTTTTCTAGGATGTTCATCTTTTTCCTACTAATGTTTAAAGGTGATTTAAATATTAAGGACTTTTTGTCATCTATGTTGCAAAAATGTTTCCTACTTTGTCATTTACTCTTTGATTGTAATTTTTTTTCTTTTTCTTTCTTTCTTTCTTTTTTGGTGTTGTTTCTAGGAATTTTCCATTTCATGTAATTAACCTAGTAAATTTTTTCCTTCATGGTTTTTCTATCTCTGGTGTCAGGTTTTTAAAAAAATCTTTTTCCACCCCAAAATTGCAGCAATGATGACCTGTTTCTAGTATTTTCATGGTTTCATTCTTTAAACTTAATCCTTTAACCCATCGAATTGAATGTATTTTGCCATTTAGTTTAAAGGTGTAACTTTTTCCCACCAAATGACAAGCCAGTTATCTTTGTGCCATTTATTGAATAATGTGCCCTTTCATACTGACCTAAAATCCCTTTCTTAACATAAACTAAGTTCTTGGGGCACCTGGGTGGCTCAGTCAGTTAAGCGTCCGCCTTCGGCTCAGGTCACGATCCCAGGGTCCTGGGATCGAGCCCCACGTCAGGCTCCCTGCTCTGTGGGGAGCCTGCTTCTCCCTCTGACTCTGCCTGCCGCTCCCCCCTGCTTGTGCTGTCTCTCTCTCTCGCTGTCAAATAAATAAAATCTTAAAAAAAAAAAAAAAAGTTCTTATACATATTCAAGCCTGATTTAGTCTTTCTGTTCTATTCCATTGCACTGATCTGTCCATTCCTACTGTTTTATTACTCTCCAGATCCTGTATTAAAAGTAACTCTAGCAGTGTCTGATCTTCAGAAGTCCTTGAACTACTGGTCTAATCTACTGGGAATGAAAATTTATGAAAAAGATGAAGAGAAGCAAAGGGCTTTGCTGGGCTATGCTGATAACCAGGTGAGTGATCTTGGAGAGAAGTAATCTGTTACTTTGAATTAGGCTTATAAATGAGGTTAACATGAAGGTTATTCTCAGAGTTTTTTCACTGTGATTCAATATTTACACAGATAAACAGAAAGAAGAAAATAATAATTGCTGATAACTTCATCACCCAGTATTACTTTTGTTTATATTTGGGGATATATCCTTTCAGAAGTGGAATTGCTGAGTCAGAAGAGATGGAGATAAGAGCTAGTACTATAATGATAATCTATTTTCATCTTTTTTTTTTTTTAATAACCTAGCATTTGAACATGATTTAGTCCTTGCACTCTGACCCAGCAGGTCTACTCCTAGGAATTTATTTCACAGATATACTCACTGTTCGTGTGCGCAAGGAAAAGTGTACAAGGTTATCTGTTGCAGCATTGTGATAGCAAAAGATAAGAAATAACCCCAATGTCCTGTGCATTAGAGGAATAGTTCAATAATGTATGGTTTATCCATAGAATGGATTACTGTGCAGCTATCAGAAAGAATGGGGTGGATCGTTATGTGCCAATGGAGTAACATTGGATAAAAACAAGGGACAGAATAATGTGTAGATTATGCTACTGTTTATATTAAAAAAAAAAAAGATCTGTGCATGCCATGTGTCTAGCAGGACACACAGGAAGCCTCTGGGAGAGAATAGAAGGGAGAAATAGTTTTTACTTTATTCCTTTAGTACTGTTTGATTTTTTTTTAACCACATAACCTCTTCCCAAAAAATAGACCCACTTTCTTATTTCTTTTCAGTGTAAGCTGGAGCTACAGGGTATCAAGGGTACAGTTGATCATGCAGCAGCTTTTGGAAGAATTGCCTTTTCTTGCCCCCAGAAAGAGGTAATGTTTGTTCTTGGGTCTTTTGTGTAAGCTCTGGGACTAGCTAGTTGAACCAGCTAAGAACCTCAGCCCTCCCTTCTTTAGGTTCGTTCCAATTGTGGCTTGGTATCAAGTTCAACAGTTGTCTCAAGAACGGCTGAGATAATAAAATCAAACAAGTGGTGCCTAGGTGATACTCCTCTAGGGCTCATGTGGGCCACAGTGTGGGAGTGGTATGTGACCCCTTGCTCACTTTGCCTCTTTGTTTTCCTCAAGTTACCGGACTTAGAAGACTTGATGAAAAGTGAGAACCAGAAGATTCTGACTCCCCTGGTGAGTCTGGACACCCCAGGGAAAGCAACAGTACAAGTGGTCATTCTGGCTGACCCTGTAAGTATTACTCAGGAAAGGGATGGGCTGCACGAGGGGTTTCTTCCAGGTGTCTTTTTGCCAAACTTCTTTTCTCTTTATTGGTGTAGGATGGACATGAAATTTGCTTTGGGCTGCACGAGGGGTTTCTTCAAGGTGTCTTTTTGCCAAACTTCTTTTCTCTTTATTGGTGTAGGATGGACATGAAATTTGCTTTGTCGGGGATGAAGCATTTCGAGAACTTTCTAAGATGGATCCAGAGGGAAACAGATTGTTGGATGACGTGAGTCTCGTTTCTGACTTTGTATCCCCATAGGCCCACAGCGGATGATGTTAAGTGTGTGGGGAAGGGCTAAAGCAAGAGGATCCAGTGCTGTGTCCCTTTGCTGGTATGGTGACTTTTGAGCCAGGAACATGCGTCTTCATTGCCACCCATATGACTTTTTTTTCCCCCTAGTCAAGATTTTATTTATTTATTTATTTTTAAAGATTTTATTTATAAGTGGGGCACCTGAGTGGCTCAGTCAGTTAAGTGTCTGCCTTCGGCTCAGGTCATAATCCCAGGGTCCTGGGATCGAGCCCCGCGTGGGGCTCCCTGCTCAGTGGGGAGCCTGCTTCTCCCTTTCGCCCTGCTTGTGCTCTCTCTCTGTGTCAAATAAAATCTTTAAAAAAAAAAAAAGATTTTATTTATAAGTAATCTCTACAGTCAACGTGGGGCTCGAACGCACAACCCTGAGATCAGGAGTTACACACTCTGCCGACTGAGCCAGCTAGGCGGCCCTGCGCCCAGGTGACTCTTAACTGGGGGTAGCATTCGTGCCCTCGCACTTGCTCACATGGCCTGGGGAACCACTCCTGCTCTGTGTATCGTGATTCTGCGCCGCGAGGGCAAAGGCCTGGATACACCCCCTGGCTTCTTTAGCTCTTCTGGTCCTTTCATTTCCAGTCTACAGTGGCATTCCCTCCCTTTCTAATGAATCGTTCTCGTCAGCATGCAGACAAGGTTTCATGTCTCCCATCTTTTTAAAATCTTTTGCCCCATATTCCTTCTCCATAGTTCTTTTTAAAAAATCTGCCTACACTCTCTTTCTACTTCTTACCTCCCATTCACACTTGAGTCTGTTCTGCACTGGCTCCTGTCGCTCAGGGAAGTGCTCCTGTTGATATCATCAGTGACTTCTCTTGCCAAGTCCAGCAACTCCTTTTCTGTCCTCATCAAACTCTGTCATCAGCATCCAAAGCCGCCATTGTACTCCAGCTTCTAGCACATACCTGGTGTGTAGTAGGAACTTAGTGAATGCTCTGTTGATGATTAAAGGAATGAATCCGTCTGTCCTGGTTCTTCACTTACTATCTGTGTGACTGACTGTAAGTAATTTCCTTAAATTCTCTGAACTTCAGTTTTGTGTTTTGTTTTGTTTTGTTTTAAGTAATCTCTGTGCCCAACATGGGGCTTGAACTCATGACCCCAAGATCAAGAGTCACATACTCTACCAACTAAGCCAGCCAGGAGCCCTTAAGCTTTAGTTTTCTTACCAGAAAAATTGAGAAAATAAGATTATCCACCTCACAGGATGGTTGTATGGTTTATAGAGTGCGGCAAACTGCTGACATAACAACAGACATTCAATTTAATTAAAGCAGGAAACAGAAAATAGAACATTAATAAATTTTATCATAAAGGAAAACAGAATCTCAGACAACCTCCCAGTTGGCACATTTGTTAGATTTTTTCCTCCTTACTTTTTCATATCACCAACTTCCTCCTCTTTCAAGCTCTCTTCTCCTTTGGTCTTAGGGATCCTGCCATCTTCATATCTCTCTGACAGCTTCTCATCAGACACAAGAACCTCTTTCTGTCTCCTTCCAAAACGATTTACCCTCTTCTCTGAGTAGAGGTTACCTACTACTCTGGTTACTTCTCCTCAGAGCTGCAACCATAGTCCATTCTCTGACTTCCTAATTTCTAGTTCCTACTCCTCCCTAAGCTCCAAACAAGTATTTTTTGTTGTTACTGAGGTAAAGTATACATGAAATATAAATGAACAGGGCACCTGGGTGGCTCCGTCAGTTAAGCAGCTGCCTTCGGCTCAGGTCATGATCCCGGGGTCCTGGGATCGAGCCCCGCATCGGGCTCCCTGCTCTACGGGAAGCCTGCTTCTCCCTCTCCCACTCCCCCTGCTTCTCCCTCTCCCACTCCCCCTGCTTCTCCCTCTCCCACTCCCCCTGCTTCTCCCTTTCCCACTCCCCCTGTTTGTGTTCCCTCTCTCGCCTGTGTCTCTCTCTGTGAAATAAATAAATAAAATCTTAAAAAAAAATATATATATATATATATATATAAATGAACGGAAATTTAGTGTTCCATTTGATGAGTTTTGACAGTTAAATATTCTCATACAACCACTGTTCAAAATATAGAGCATTTTCATCATTGTAGAAAGTTCTCCCATGCCCATTTCCAGCTAATTTCCACCCCTGCCTCCCAGAGGCAAGTAAGTATTGTACTGATTTGTCACATTATTTTTGTTTGCCCTTGGACTTCATATAAATGAGATCATTCTGTAGGTATTCTTTTGTGCCTGGCTTCTGTCACCTAACATAATGTTTTTGAGATTCTTCCATGTAATTGTACATATCGGAGTTTATTCTTTTTTTTCTTTTTTATTGCTGAGTGGTATTCAATCTTATAAGTACAACAGTTTGCTTATCCATTCTTCCAATGATAGATATTTGAGTTGTTTCCAGATTTTTATCCACAGTAAGGAAGACTGCTATGAACATTGTTGTGTAAATCTTACAGACATGTTTCATTTCTTTTAGGTAGTAACTAGGAGTAGAATTGCTTTTACTTTATGAAAGACTGCCAAACAGTTGTCCAAAGTGATTGAACCACTTTACTCTCCTGTGGGCCATGTATGTGTCTGAGAGTTCTGGCTGTTCCATATCTTCGTCAGCATTTGTGTTTTGCCGGGTTTTTGTTTTAGCTATCCTAGAACGTGTGAAATGGTTTCTCATTGTGTTTTTTTTTTTTTTTTTTTTTTTAAGATTCCATTTATTTATTTGACAGAGGGAGAATGAGAGAGAGAGCACATGAGAGGGGGGAGGGTCAGAGGGAGAAGCAGACTCCCCGCCGAGCAGGGAGCCCGATGCGGGACTCAATCCAGGGACTCCAGGATCATGACCTGAGCTGAAGGCAGTCGCTTAACCAACTGAGCCACCCAGGCGCCCCTCATTGTGGTTTTAATTTGCATTTCCCTGATAACTACTTATGTTTAGCACCTTTGCATATGCTTATTGGCTATTTGCATACCTTCCTTTGTGAATTGTATGTTCAAGTCTTTTGTCCATTTCTTTCCATAATAGATTTTATTTTTAATATTTGGTGATTAAATATTCCAAAAATACACAGGTGAGTACAACAAATCTCTATGTGACTGTCACTAATCAACGCCTCCATAATTTTTCATCATTCCTTCCCACCCGCCTTTTTTTTTTTTTGGGGGGCTGGGGAATTTTTTTTTTTTTAAGTTTTTTAATTTATTCATTTGAGAGAGAGAGCAAGAGCATGAGCAGGGGGGAGAGGCAGAGGGAGAGGGAGAAGCAGACTCCCTGCTGAGCCATGTGGGGCTCAAACCCAAGACTTTGGGATCATGACCTCAGTTGAAAGCGACGCTTAACCAACTGAGCCACCCAGGGGCCCCTTTTTTGCTACGGAATTCTAAGGCAAATCTTAGACACTGTTATTTCAACCTTAAATACTTAAGTATTTTATACATTTTAGTTTTTTTTTTTAAAGATTTTACTTATTTGAGAGAGACAGAGTGCATGCTTGCATGCACACACAAGCTCAGGGAGGGGCAGAGGGAGAGGGAGAAGCAGACTCCCCACCAAGCAGGGAGCCTGATATGGGGCTCCATCCCAGGACTCTGAGAAGATTAAACAGTTTTTGAAATGACTGGATTTATGCTGATGCTGGCAGGAGGGATGGCAGACGAAGGCAGATGCTTAACTGACTGAGCCACCCAGGCACTCCAGTATTTTATACATTTTTAAATTATTATTATTATTATTTTTAAAAGATTTTATTTATTTATTTGACAGGGAGAGACAGCTAGAGAGGGAACACAAGCAGGGGGAGTGGGAGAGGGAGAAGCAGGCTTCCCGCCGAGCAGGGAGCCCGATGCGAGGCTCGATCCCAGGACCCTGGGACCATGACCTGAGCTGAAGGCAGACGCTTAACGACTGAGCCACCCAGGCGCCCCCATTTTTAAATTATTTAAAAGAAGTAAAAATCAAGGAATTTTCTTATGTATCGTATTGATATTAGCACACTTAAAAAAATCACCAGTATATCTTTAATGTCACTTAAAATCCAGTTTTATTAAAATTTCCCTGATTAATTAAAAATGATTTTATATAGTTGGTTTTTTCTGTGTATTTTTTAAGTAGCTTTAATATAATTGGACTGTATCAGTACAGAATAATTTATATGATCCATTGAGATTCATGACAAACTAGTTGGAAAGCACACCTCTATGTGTTTTACATTTTAGCCATTCTAGTCTATATTCTCTATGAATGTATTTTCACACTCCGTGAGTTTGCTCAAATGATTTTATTCTCCTGGAATGTCCCTTACTTAAATATTTGTTTATTTTTTAAGGCCCATTTAAATCCATTTTTAAAAAATTGGTTATTTATCTTGTTGATTGGTTGGAGTTCTGGATGTGAGTCATTTTTTAAATATCTACAAATGCAAGTACTTTTCCGAGTCTATGGCTTGCCAGTTTATTTTCTTAACAGAGTCGTTTGGGGACACCTGGGTGGCTCAGTTGGCTAAGTGTCTGCCTTTGGCTCAGGTCATGATCCCAGGGTCCTGGGAAGGAGTCCCCCATCGAGCTCCCTGCTCAGCAGGGAGTCTGCCGCAGGGAGTCTGCCACAGGGAGTCTGCTTCTCCTTCTGCCCCTCCCCCCGACTCGTGCGCTCTCTCTTGAAAAAAATAAATAAATACATAAGTAAAATCTTTAAAAAAATCTGCAAACAGTTGCTCAATACTTATCAGCATCCTGTCAAATTAAACATAATACTCTATGCCAAATGAATACTTTTTTAAAGATTTTATTTATCTGAGAGAGAGAGTGCGAGAACGTGAGCTGGAGGGAGAGGGAGAAAGAACTAAAGCAGACTCTGTGCTGAGTGCAGAGCCTGATGTGGGGCTCAATCCCATAACCGGCAGATCGTGACCTGAGCCGAAACCAAGAGTCAGACGCTAAACCAACTGAGCCACCCAGGTGCCCCCTGAATGAACACTTTTTAATTGTTAATGACTGCGGACAGTGCAATGAGGTACAAAGTGGACTGTATGTTTTGTTTTATAGTCTTAAATATATATTCTAATTCTCTTTCTGTAGGCAATGATGGCAGATAAAAGTGATGAGTGGTTTGCTAAACAAAATAAATCCAAGGCTTCGGGGTAACAGAAGACATGATGTGGAACAAGCATTTGTGATTCCTGTCTAGCACCTGCAAGGAACTGATGTGTCCATGCATGATAAATGCTCTCACAACTTGGTTGTTTCCTGTACAGGCAAGGACGCTGGGGTGCTAAAGATCTGTGTGTTTTAATCTTTGAAAGCTCTAAGATAGATTTTAGAAATAAAATTCTATTATTATCAGTCCAATTAGAGGAGAACGCTTGCTGTAATCTGCACTGTCACTGGAATGGCACATTCTATGTGTAACTCTATTAGATTAGTCATAAATTAGTTTTTAGCTTGGGCAACTATGTGGGACATTACCTTTGGTTGAAGATGCAGGGAATTTTGATAAGCTTATAGCAGGACTACTTCCAGCACCGTGATAGTATGCTGTTCTAATGCCTTCCTCTGGCAGGCCTTGACATTGAAAAATGTTAAGGAAATTTTGTTCCTTGAATCAAAAGATTTGACTAACAGCCCACACATTCCTTGCTTTGAAATTTTGAGCAGAATAAACACATGGAAGGATCTAATGTGCTGTGTTCGTACTATTTTCTTTATATTAAAATCTTCACGAGAATTTCAATTTCTATGGATTAGATTATTTCTTCAGCCTGAAAAAAGTTTTTTTTAATGATTTCTTGTAGTTTTCTGTTTGGTTCCACAGAACAAATTTTAATCATTGGAAACAAAATTTGGCCATATTTATTATAAATGGTTTTTGAAAGTATACTTCTGAAATCAAGTTGTTACACCAGCCTCTAAGATTCTATTTAAAATGGCAGTGGCCAGGTTCAAATTTTAGAGAAGAAACTGAGGAGATTGAAAAGGATTGACTCAGGGCGCCTGGGTGGCTCAGTTGTTAAGCGTCTGCCCTCGGCTCAGGTCATGGTCCCAGGGTCCTGGGATCGAGCCCCACATCGGGCTCCCTGCTCGGCGGGAAGCCTGCTTCTCCCTCTCCCACTCCCCCTGCTTGTGTTCCCTCTCTCGCTGTGTCTCTCTCTGTCAAATAAATAAAATCTTTAAAAAAAAAAAAAAGAAAAGAAAAGGATTGACTCAGAGGTTACCAGTTCCAGATTAATATATATGAAATTAGGGTAATCTTACCTTCACCAAGAGAAAAAAATCCTTTTCCAGCTCCACAGTACTTTTCATTCAACTTAAATTCTCTGTCTTAGGGAAGCAATCATGAGTTTCAAAGCAAACCAAGTTATAGTTGTTCCTTCTCTAGACCATTGGTTCACTTTTTTCCTATATACAGGGAAATTATTGTATGGATTTTGAATAACTTCTCTGTGTTTCTTTAGACTATGATTTGTTAATTTTCAGATTTCCTATTATTAAGTAATTCTTGATGTTTATTTCCGGTAACACTGTTCTTGTGCAAAGAAATTATGCTTTTCCCAATGTATTAGGCTTAGGCCTTCTAAGTTTGTCATAGTAAAATAAATGGTTTATGTAAGTACTGAATGACCAAACACATACTAGATTTCTTTTTATCTACTTAGATATTAACATACCAAAACTTCTCTTTCTTAAATTATAGCTATGCATGACATAAGTTAATGCTGTTTATCTCCCTCCATCTTCAACCAAAGGGTATTCACCCCACAACCATTTAGTGTACAGTTTTGGCCTTTTATCAAGGAATCCAAAAGTTTACCTCTGCACGGTGTAGCTAGTGATTTTATTTATTTTTTTTAAGGGGAGGGGTGGGGCAGAGGGGGAGAGAGAATCTTAAGCAGGCTCCACGCTCAGCGACATGGGGCTCGATCTCAGAACCCTGAGATCATGACCTGAGCTGAAATCAGGAGTCGGACGCTTAACCAACTGAGCCACTCAGGCGCCCCTGGTGTAGCTAATGATTTTAAAACACAGGTATAATCGATTACTTTCCCACCTCTGAGGATGGTATGATCCATTAGAAAACAAGGTTATAAGATGGTTTTGCCCAAGCTGGTGTTTTAAAACAGATGAAGTTGGAAAGTCTTTTGGCTTCTCCAGAGTTGTGTTTTCAGAGCAGTCATTTTGGTTTTTTGCCTTGAGGGGTTGAGGAGTTATAGCATATCAAGTTTAAATTCAGACTTCCCTTGGGTTTAAATCCAGAGAGATTTAGAATGACTATGTTGCAAGAGCTTCCCTAGCTTAGCCCGGGGAGTTAGTATGAAATCCATATTTGCTTGACATCTTGGTAGAATTAGCAAAGCTGTGGACATTCACGGCTCCTTTGTGTGACTTTCTGCCCATCTCGCCTGTCACATGCAGTTGCCATTGTGTTTAGCAGAGTTTTTAGGAGGGCTCCAATTTGTCCACTGAAATTTATGGTGAGAGTTAATGGGAAGTTTCAGTTTGGTCTAAGACTTCTTACCTTTCCCTTGGGAAGTCCATAGGAAATTTACTCTGGCCTTAATGATCAACCAAAAAATGCTCTTGGTTTTTTTGTTTTTTGTCTTTTTAGATTTTATTTATTTTAAAAAGAGAGTGCATGTGAGCAGGGCAGAGTAGAGGCAGAGGGAGAGAGAAACTTAAACGGACTCCACGCTGATCATGGAGCCCAACGTGGGGCTCGATCTCACGACCCTGAGATCATGACCTGAGCCAAAACCAAGAGTCGGTTGCTTAACCTACTGAGCCACCCAGGCGCCCCCGAGAAATACTCTTGCCTCAGATTTCTATAAGGTATCAGAGTCAGTGATACAAAAATCAAAACAATATTAAAAAGGTACACTTTGAAAAGTCTACCAATCCCATTCCCTTTGCCTCCTACTTATTATTCTCCCTTTTCCCCACAAAATTCAACATACTGTGTACACTATATATTTTTTTTAATAATGTATCCTCTAGTTGCTTTCTGCAGTCCTAACTATGGTGCATTTTTACTTTATCAGGTTTTATAATGATTTACAGAAATGACTATACCTACAGTGCCGAAGTTGACACCCTGTATTTTGGAGCAAGATGTTCCATTATTATTTTTACTAGTAATTCACATTTAATGTGAACCAGGGCTCTAAAAGCATCAAAATGTGCTTGTAATATCCTCCAAAGAAGAGAGGACAACACAACTATAGTACAGTGTGGCTGTTTTTTGTTTGTTTGTTTGTTTGTTTAAGATTTTATTTATCTGACAGCACAAGCAGGGGGAGGGGCAGGCAGAGGGAGAGGGAGAAGCAGGCCCTCCTCGGAGCAGGGAGCCTGATGTGGGGCTCGATCCCAGCACCTGGGACCACAACCTGGGCCGAAAGCAGATGCCCAACTGACCGAGCCACCTAGGTGCCCCTACAATGTGGCTCTTGTCCAACTTGTAATAGTTCTTTAGTCACTGTGGCATCCTGGGGATATTCTCAAGTCCTGTACTTAGTCTATAGCAACTTCCTGCAAAGACATGAACAGAAGATCCTGAAGATACCTGGTGAGATTTGGTTTCCTTTGTCTTCTGAAGTCTTTATGGTTGTTGCTTCTATTGTTTAATGGCCCTTCATGAACTGGAGCTGACCCGATGTCATGATCTATGAAAATAGTTTTTGAGGAAAAACACTGGGAAGACCCATGCTATAGTAGAGCTTTTTCTCTGAAATGTCTTTAATAAGAGCATTTAGCGGGCGCCTGGGTGGCTCAGTTGGTTAAGCGACTGCCTTCAGCTCAGGTCATGATCCCAGGGTCCTGGGATGGAGCCCCGCGTCGGGCTCCCTGCTCTGCGGGGAGCCTGCTTCTCCCTCTCCCACTCCCCCTGCTTGTGTTCCCTCTCTCACTGTGTCTCTCTCTGTCAAATAAATAAATAACATCTTTAAAAATAAATAAATAGGGCGCCTGGGTGGCTCAGTTGGTTGGGCGGCTGCCTTCGGCTCAGGTCACGATCCTGGAGTCCCGGGATCGAGTCCCGCATCGGGCTCCCTGCTCGGCAGGGAGTCTGCTTCTCCCTCTGACCCTCCCCCCTCTCATGTGCTCTCTCTCTCAAATAAATAAATAAATAATCTTTTAAAGAATAAAATTAAATAAAAATTAAAAAATAAAAATAAATAAATAAATAATAGCATTTAGCACTCCATATCCCAGGGTACTTACTGTGCATTGATGCCTCCATGATAATCGGCACTAAGGAGTGGAAGCTGAGCACAGGCACTTTGGGCCTTGCATGGGTCAAAGGGTGTGTTGTGCTTATAAAACAAACTCATTTACATGTACGTACACATTGTCCCACAGACATCCCCAAGCAGAAACCAGGGTTAGCTGTGAACTAAAGCCCAAGAAAACTTTGGTTGCGTGGCCTTTAGTGAGGCTTTCAGAGGCTGGGTTGAAACCATCTTCTCCAGTGTTTCTCTGCTGTGGTGTCAGGCATCCATGACTTCACTAAAAGTGGACTTCCCCCAAAATATTAACTTCGTCAGTCCTGTGTTCTAGTAGGGGCTTTTGGTAGTAGGACTTGACTTGAGCTTTTTGAAAGACAAAGCCCGTTTCCTGTCAGTAATGTTGGGTTAGTAGTGAAAGGACAACCCCTGAAGAGATAAGGGGCCTTAGCCTCCTCTTCTTCTCTCCCCTTTCCCGAGAGGCCGAGCCTCTGGAGAATGGTCTATTCACCTCAAATCTTGAGGCATTTCCATAGCATGATTCTTCCCCTGACCCCTCTGCTCCTGCCAAGCAACTACATATACTCTGGGAATAGGAAGGCTGGGAACTCTTACTCAAAATCATAAAGCCAGGTGTAATGGAACTTTCCCTTGAGGAGAGCTGCTTTTTATGTATTTTGGACACCTCCCCAGTACTCCGACAGTCACTTTGAGTTTAATCACCTTTCCAACAATAGTCACTCTCATGCAGTTTAAGTGATTTATTGATGTCTCTCAGCTACAGTGGTTATGGTTTCAGGATGTTTCAACCATCAGTCTTTTAAGAAGCCCTTTTCCCTACCGGAGAAGCCCTGCTACTTCATTCCGTTTGACACTGTCCTCCTTAACCAGTATCGTTTTTCTTCAGTTCTTCCACTTTGGCAACATAGATCCTCATGGCATCCATCTTGGACATCCCTTTGTTCTCGTTCCATGCCTCCCACTTGGCCTTGGCTTTCACATCTGTAGCAGGTGGGGCGGGGATGTTGCAATCGCCCTGAGTGGCCTGTTTGTAGAAGCTGTACACCAACAGTTTCTCCTGATCACTCACAGGTCCCTTCAGCTGCTTGACAGCAGCGCAGGCCATCTCAAACTCCACTTGGCACATTGGGGGAGCTGAGGCCTGGCCCCTGTGTCCTCTCTAGGTGATAGCTGGTGCTGCAAGCTGGAGGATGGAGAGTTAGAAACACTGGAGGCTAGTGATTAGGTCAGGGAAGAAGGGAAAGGGAGCAAAGGAGACAGGGTAATGTGTGAGAAGAACATAGGATATTCGTGTGTGTGTGTGTTCTCAGAACTGGGGCCCATTGGATTGGATCTCCCCCACCGATGCTCTGGCTAGCAAAGTGCATTTTCTGGGGAGGGCAACCAGTAACACTTCAAAGGCGCCTATGATGCCAGAGAATTAAGGATGCCGTGCTGCAGGGAGAAGGAAGTGCGCTGGGGGGGGGGGGGGGCGGATTGCGCGTCTGTGGGG